GAGGGGTGAATGGAGTCAAACAATTTCTCGGAAGGCCGAAAGATAGCGTAATGGCAACCAATCACCAGTCGTGTTGTTTACGTCATCATTTAAATGAACTTACATATGGACACGCGCGAACTTTTCGTGTAAAAAGTATGGTATACAGTATATTTTTCATCGCCTGCCCTCAAGCACAGGCGACATCGTGATGTGTCGGTAACGTATGGTAGCGAGGCCAATCCCAACAAAAGAACATACTGTACTGTAAAATAATAAACACAAAACACATTTTCAATTGTCAAAAAAGCATGAATTTTATTTCTTTTGTTTATTGAGTAATAGTCAAACTCCATATGTATTATCTTGAAGAGATCTTCTATCCACGTATTTTCATCAGGCCTACTCCGCACCAGTGGCGGCGCCAGCGGGGGCAGGGGCTTAATCCCCTCCCCATCGGTCTGGTTAAACACCCTCCCCATCGGCCAAAGCTCGTCGGGCAGTCGGACCAAAAAAAAAAAAAAAAAAATAGGCCTAGCTTTTCCATCCTAGCCAGTGGCCATATCCTAGAGCCGCCACTGCTCCGCACGTCAATGTAGGTTTCAATGTTGATAAAAATTCACATAATATTGCTTTGAAGGAAGTTAAGTTTCATTTATATCGTTATCACATACAGGACAATAAGTTATATTTAAATAAAACAAATGTCATTAATAATACTATGCCACATGCATTCTGAACATATTGGCCTGGGCCTTGTTGATTGGACACGATACGATTACGATAGTATACGATCATTATGTTCACTTCAAATTCAAGTGAACAAATCATCGGCACCCATCACTTCGATGGTGCACCCAATATAAAGAGCAAAGCAAAATAATAATTCAACAACACTCAAAAATGGGTAAAACAACATAATGTCTAAACAAAACCAAGTAAATAATTGTAATGTTTTACCTTTTTGCATATCTCAATAATAATAATAATAATAATTACCTATGGAGGGGGTCGAGACCTAATAATAGGCCTACTATAATATTTTTCACTCAAGAAAAGTCGGTTGTTGGCATCGACATCACTCGTATTAATACACGAAATAAGTTAAGCCTATTCGCAATTATGTACCACTTGTCCAAACGTTGTTTTCAACTCTTAGATTGTTTTTACCAATGTCACATGGCTAAGCAATTGAAGGCAACGAAAACAAAAATTCAAAAATTTAAAGAACAGACTATATAACGAAATAGGCCTACAGCTATAAACACAAAATGATTCTCAGTTAGACACAGTTATCCGAATATATTAGAGATGAGTATCAATAGCTTTATTGGTCCATTGCAAAGTAAAATGGAAATTCTTTTTCCACTGGCGAACAACGTGAACTAATATATAATATCGATATTAAAAAATCAAGCAAACATAATAAAATGCCAAAGAACCATGAAAATAAAGTTCGGGAAGTTGAACATTGCTTTTAATGATTGAAAAATGATTGAAAAATTAGATTTGTATATACTGTAATACATTTCACTCAAGGATACCAATCATACTTCAACTTGGGACCTGGAAATCGTTTTATTGGTGTGAGGCCTAATCTTAAATTGTATACTGTTGATTGATTTTTTTTTTATTTAGTAAGAATCGTTGAGTTGATGTTCTCTAGTTTTAACCAGAAGTACGGTATTTAAACCATATAAAAGGTAGTGATTCACGTTGTTACTATGGTTACACCCAAAAACCTTTGTTGTGATTGTATGTGCCGAGTCATTTAAAAGAGATGTCTTAATAAGATTTAAGAAGCTTTTCTTTATGAAAGAAGTTACAATCTCGTATAGGATTAAAACAATTCTGCTATATAATGACTTGTTATAAACGGGTCTGCTTTATAAGGTGCAATCCCCGGCTGCGTCGCGCGCGTCCCGGTTCAATCCGATCCTTCCAGAAGAAGGTTCCATTATTATCCGCAATAATTGTTGTACGGTTAGTCTTATAGGCCTGTTCTCTTTGATTTCCCAATGCACAACTCTAATAAAGCATCGTCGAGTGACAAGAACAGAATAAAATGCAAATAGACTTTTGCGATATTTAATTGGTTTGACTACAACATACGAAGCTCAACTTTCACCCTGGGGGAATATTCTTTATCGATTTTATGATTTCAAGTAATTAACCACCCGCCTATTAACATACCTTATGCTGTGATAATAATATTCGGAAAACAATGGGAAAACATAGACCTATTATTAAAACCGGTATGGCAACCTCTGCGAAGTCTGCTTACATCTTCTCTCAGGCCTATTACTTATATTTATTGGATACAGTATGCCTTTAATAGGCCCTTGATTTAGCCCCCCCCCCCCCCTCCCTCCCTTTTTATATGTGCATCAACCAATCATCCATGATCATAGGTAATTGATTGTAGGCTTAAGTCTAACATTTATAGTGATAGTATACAATAAAATTAATAACAGTAATATAATGTATTGTTTAAAGGTTTGCATGGCGAAGTAATAGCATATATGTTGAAGCTTGCGGTACACCGCGTAGGTACCGGTAGTTTTGAAAAGAACTGTTGTAGTTGAGAAAGTCTCAACTACTACAGTTCTTTTTTTCAGAACTACCTACGTGGTGTAACGCAAGCTTCAACATATACAGTAATATAATGATAAAAAAAATTATTATTATTATTTTTATTATTATTATTATTATTATTATTATTATTATTATTAATAATAATAATAATAATAATAATAATAATAATAATAATAATAATAATAATAATAATAATAATAATAATAATAAATAAATAAATAAATAATGATAATACCCATTATTTCAGCCTAAATATTAGATAAGTACTAAATAAGGTTTGCATGGCGAAGTAATAGCATATATGTTGAAGCTTGCGGTACACCGCGTAGGTACCGGTAGTTTTGAAAAGAACTGTTGTAGTTGAGAAAGTCTCAACTACTACAGTTCTTTTTTTCAGAACTACCTACGTGGTG